AGTGAGCCAAGGGGAGAAAGGCAAGAGATGAGATCAAAGAGGTGGGGGGGCCCCACTCGATGGAGTAGCAGTTCCAGTGGGTGTGGTGTCAGACACAGGGGGCTTTGAATATTTATAGGGTAATTTGGTTGTCAAAATAAGTGGGGGGCACTACTGGAGTTTAGGGGGCATGAGCAGGGACACCAGGTGTCTTGCAGTATGTAAGGCACATAATATGCAATGAATAATTGTACCACCACGTGCTTAGTGATTTTTTAATGCCCTCATGTTCAAAACCTACTGCAAATAGAAATTAGTAGTACTTTGCTACATAAGAATGTTAACTTTTTTTTAAAATATTTTATTTATTTATTTGAGAGAGAGAGCATGAGCTGGGGGGTGGGGCAAAGGGAGAGGGAGAAGAAGACTCCATGCTAAGCAGGGAGCCCAACACATGAGCTTGATCCCAGGACCCTGGGATCATGATCTGAGCCGAAGGCAGCCGCTTAACCACCTGAGCCACCCAGGTACCCAATAATGTTAACTTTTTAAAATAAGAAGTTATACATACACACTATAAATTAGTCTATTTCCCCCAAATTAAAATGGAATAAAAACATTGTCTTGAAGTTATTGAAACATTTACTGAGCAATCTATTCCAGATGTGCTATTTAATACCCAGTTCGTTGTAACTGGTTTTAGTAAAGCGGTTCAGTTACTGCATTAAACCAATTGCAAATATGTAACTGAGGAGATTTGAAACTGCCTTTTAATTATTAAGTTAATACAGTTATAGGAAATGTAAGGGTTTCATTGAATTTAATTTATAAAGTTTGTTGCCCTCTACATATTTTTTAATTTTTAGTACCCTAATAATAAGGACTTCAGATTGTGTAAAGTACTTAAGAGGCGATTTGGGGATTTCCTTTTGCTTTGTAAGAATTGGCAGAAGGCACAAGGATTAAAAGCATGACCTCCTGACTATTTGGCTTTAAATGCCAACACGGCCACCCATCAGTGGCATGACTGGGAAAATTGCTTAACTTCTCTGTGCCTGATTTCCACATATGTGGAATAGTGATAATAAAAGCAACCGTCTCACAGGATGTCTGTGAGGAGTAACTGAGGTATTACATGCAAATACTTTTAACAGAACCTGACAAATGGTAAATGCCACATAAGAGTTTTATATTATTATTTATTATTATTGTTGTTGGTGTGGTTACTGTCCCCACATTTATACTACTTGAGCTCTATAGAGAAGCTTGAATGTATTATGTTTCTTTATTCATCCTCCATTCCCTATTACCCATTCCTAGATGTTCATTCCATGGTCTTTTAAAGTACTAAGGATTGAAAGAAGTGGAGTTTATTTTCCTACCCCTTGAATCTGGGATGGCCTTGTGACTTGCTTTGACCAATAGAATGTGGCAGAAGGGATGTGTGAATTTAATTTAATTATGTTATGTTATATGAAATCAATGAATCGTGGATCACTACATCAAAAACTAATGATGTATTGTATGGTGACTAACATAGCCAACTGATTTAAATGCTTTGATATACAGTGGGATTTCAAGACCAAGATGTGCCATCTGCACAAATTTATCACTAGCCTGTCCCATGTCGAAGCATGAGGGATCGTTCTTTCCCTCACGTTATAGATTAGGCTCAGCTCATTTGCAGTGTCATACAGCTTCATTATCTCCACTTGGATGGTTTGTCATTAGTTATTGCCTTCTTTCTCACAGCACACACTAATAAATCTAGTCTGTTCTTATTCACCCTTAGCACTCGTTTATAGGCTAGTGTCTGCCTGCTTTCTCATTTTTCTTGGACTTCTTAAACTAAACGGCTTCTGATTTACTTAGTTCTCTTTAATCCAAATTTTTTCATTATAATAATGCACAGGCTACTGTTTTTTAATATCATCTTTTATGGTGGTTTCTAAACATTACAGATGACATACTGTGGGGGGTACGTTTCTTTCCTTTTATTTCTCCTTTAAATTATATTTGTGGTGTTGTAGTAATTTAAGCTTTCAGAAATTAGATGTGCATAAGATGTCATTATCGAATATTATTTCAGCACAGTAAATGATGCTACAAAATGTTTTATTCAAGATGGATATTCAGGGTCTGAGAAGGTTTGAGCCAATGTTATAAAGCCTTTAGGACATTGTAAGGATTGACTTCTACTCTCCATGAGGTGGGTCATGACAGTGTTTGGGCAGAGGAGTGACATGATGTGATTTGCATCTTGAGTGTTGCTCTAGCTGGATGTTGGCAATGAGTCTGGGGTTTTGACTGCTGTAGCAGGGGGTCTAGTTAGGAGGCTCCTGCTGTAGCCCAGACAAGAGCTGATGGTATTACAGTAGCTACAGAAGAGATGATGCAAGTGGCTCTATTTTGAGAGTGGGACATGGGCACCAGGATTCTTGTATGAAGTAGATGTGGGGAGTGAGAGAAAGAGAGGAGTAAAGAATGGATCCATGTTGTTTGAGTTTGAACCAACATGAGAAGTGGACTTATTTTTCACCAAGATGGAAAAGAATGTGGCTCTATCAGGCCTGGGGTTTTGAAAATAATCAAATACAATGATGGGAAATGATATCTGTGCAATTTTTTCAAACGCAGGCATGAAGCATGCGACTCTGTGGTTGAACTTCCATTTTTACTCCTGACTGTAGTGATAGATAAATACACATGCAAGAGGACCATTGAGTGAGGGAGGGGGTAATTGAAAGGCTGGGTAAATACATTCTTTCAGGTGGATTATTACACAGTTGGAATTGTCTCTCTTGTTTCATGGATGAGAAACCAAAGGCTTAGGTCACAGTGAGCTAGCGGCAAAGCTCAAACTAAAATTCAGGGAGTCTTACTTCTGATCCACTTCTTTTATTTTTTTTCACATATCTTTTTCTCAATATTGCCTCTCCAGTTGGACTGAATTGGCTGAATTTAGTGGAACTAAATTGAGATGTTAAAAACCCTTGACTTTGTGAAGATTCCTACAGCAGTTACCTCATTATCTTTCCATTTTTTGGGAATAATTTCCCCTTTGCTTTCCCAAACCTCAGGTGCCACCCAGCCCCAAAGCCAATACCAGATTATTCTGGGGCTTTGTTACAACATTTCGCCACTCCTGGTATCAATTTTTATATTACTTATGTATTGTTGTGTAACATATCACCCTCCCCACCCCCCAAAATTTCTTAGAACAGCAATTTTATTTGCTCACAATTCTATGGGTCAGCAATTTGGTGTGGGCTCAGTAGGGTCCAGTAAAGAGGTTCTCCTCCTGGTCTCACAGTGGCCTTGTATATGACTGCCATCAGCTAATGCATTAGCTAGTGGCTGGTAGGTCTAGAGGAACTGAGATGAGACAACTTATTTATATCACACCTGGCCTCATCCTCCAGCAGGCTGTCTTGAGTTCTTTTATGTCACAGGGAAAAAAAGTTCCCATCAGCAGGACACAACTTTTTACACAAGCATTTTTAAAGTCATCACTTACATTATATTTGGTTTAAGTTGTGTTCCCCCAGAAGCAAACCCTGAGACAAGGATTTGAATGCAAGTCATTTTGGGGGAAGTATTTCATTTAACATTGGTAGGTAAGTGGCAATTAAAATATGGAAGGAAATGAAGCCAATAAAAAGTGTGTTTTTGAACAGATTACTACTGTGAGCAATTGATGTTCAGTCTCACTGGGGACCTCTGGAAGACATAGATCATGTCTCAGGGTTGTCCTTCCTGACCGGCAAAGAAGTCTGAATATTTTTTGTCTAACTCCCTTTGGTCACTGGCTTTCAGCCAATGATAACACCCCCAGGCACTTCTAGTCCGCCCCGTGAAAGGGCTGAAATGAAGCCCTTAAGCAAATGATCACAGGTGCATTTAGAAGCCATCAGCTTGTACTGGAATAGTGAGTGCCAGTAAGCTCAGGCATTGCACTCACAGTGACTATTACAGTCACTAAGATCCCACTATATTCTTGTGCTTGTACTTGGCATTATCATATACTATGTCACTGGAGCCTTATAAGCACCAATTTTAGAAAAGAAAGCCATTGTTTAGTGCATTAAATGAATCTCTCCAAAGGTGTCTCATTTGAACCTAAGCTGTCCTCACCGCAAAAGTTTTGCATCATTTTCCATCCTACGACATCTGAGACTTGACTCCTCACTGACTTCTTTACCTCTTTAAGAATATTTTCCTTATATCTGGTGCCCTCAGTCACACACCCCCTGGACTATCTCCTAACTCACAGTGTACTAAATCTATCGTCTGAAGAAGGAGGGTCTATGAATAAGATAGTTATTTTCTCAGGGTAAGGGTTGAGCAGGGCAAAGAAAACAAAAGTCTGAGAAGTACAAAGCATGTTGATTGAAAAACACAGTGATTTTATGTGGAGAATTAATAATGGGAGGGCTAGTGGTGTGACTTAGGAAGAGTATAGATCAGACAGTAGAGAATATCAAGTGTGGACTTTGTCAATGATAGAGAGTCATTGAAGATTTTAAGAAAAAGAGCAACATGATTAGAGCCTTGCTCTAGGAGAACAAATGTGGCAGATGTGTGGTTGATGGAATGGATGGGCAAGGATTGGAATTAGAGGGAGTCACCTGGGAAAGAGGGAATGTAGGTCTGGGCTAAACTGGGGGGAATGGGATATAAAAGGAAACAGTGGCTTCAGTATAGTCAGTAGGAAGATCCCTGGGTAGAAAGCTAGAGGATCTGGATTTTCATTCAAACAATAAAAATTTAAAAATAAAAAGCATTTATTTTCTCTATCATGAGAACCTTAAGCAAGAATTGAGCTTTAATAGAGCTCTGATATTTCTTTGACTTCAAACAATCCATGTTTTTCTGGTTCTCTCGAGTATGTATAGCATAAAATCATATTATAAATCCAAAGCACTAAACATAAAGGAATACAAGAAAAAAGAACCTTCTTAGCAGCTCTTATGTAAATAACTCACTGACTCTTTGCTTGTCCTTCTCTCTGTTCTTTCTAGTACTTACAACTACGATTCAATAAACCAGTGCGCTATGCGGCCACTGTCATCTATATTGTGCAGACGGTAAGGGGGAAGGGCTGCTACAGATGTGGAAAGTGTGGGGTGACAAGATATGGGTTTGTTTACTCGGGGCGGGGAGGGTGGCAATGAATGCAACCAAGGGACAGACCTAGCACTTTCTTCCAAGGATAGCACTTTCGGGATGTGTGATTACATTGAAAGTTACCCACATTGTACAGACCCCGTATATTCATCCAAATAATAAATAAAAAGCAAATGTATATTATAAACCACAAAGGAAAAAAATAGCATTAAAAACACACTGCTTTGGATATGAAATGGTTCAGTAACTGGTTTTCACTAGTTAACTGCATTGAACCAGAAATGCCCATTTTGTTGAAAGTCATTTTAAGACAATACTCCCATCTCCCCTTTGGGATTCCTCTCCTGCTCCCTAGCTCTGGGTGCCTTCATGCTGTCCCCCAGGGTCGCCTGTGGCACACTGTTGGTATGCTTCCTACAACTTACAATGTACTTTCTGCTGGAAAATAACCTTCTTCTCTTTCTTAATCAAAACTCCCACTCACTCACTGAAGGATTTAAGAGAGAGAAAAGGAGGAAAGCAGTGCTCCCTGACCTGCTCCTACACTTTTGCCTCCTAAAACCCTCACAGGAATCTCTAAATGGTGAAATCCCATTTAAAATAAAAATGAGACTGCACCTACTTCCCTCAGCATAGTGGCTGCAACCCTGGGAGTCCAAAGATGTACTCATGAAGTAGATCACCCGCGTTCGTCTTACCCTGCGCTGTACTGTCTCCATTTGAAAATCCGTATTTCAGCGGCGTGCTGAGATGAGGTTGAGTCATTGTGACATAGGCATGGCGGCGGGGGGTGGGTAGAGAAAGGTTGAACCAAAACCCTACCTTGAAGCCTATCTTTGTTTCCTTCAGAAATACCCCATATTGGGCGCCTGGGTGGCTCAGTTGGTTAAGCGACTGCCTTCGGCTCAGGTCATGATCCTGGAGTCCCGGGATCGAGTCCCGCATCGGGCTCCCTGCTCAGCGGGGAGTCCGCTTCTCCCTCTGACCCTCCCCCCTCTCATGCTCTCTCTCTCATTCTCTCTCTCAAATAAATAAATAAAATCTTTAAAAAAAAAAAAAGAAATACCCCATATCTGGCCGTAAAGTCTCAAAATTCACAGCAGTCTTAAAAGTCCAGTGCTCTTCCTCCATCAAATGCTTTGCACACTAATGACAGTAATCAATGATTTCAAGATTAGAGCGGTTGCCAATGACATGTTTAGTGACATGATGAGGGAAATACCCCTCTAAGGTCAATAAGGAAACTTTGAGGCAGCTTTCCCTTCCGTGTCACTTTTCACACTGTTCACTTGACTCTTGCTTCCCCACCAGATTCTCTACACAGGAGTCGTGGTGTATGCACCTGCGCTAGCGCTCAATCAAGGTGAGTCACTGATACTCCCTTGGATACTCTTCATCTTTTGTATGCTTACATTCTCACCTTGAGAAATATACATCCATCTTGTTGGGGAGACATTCCTGCGGTTAGAGGGCTCTAATTACTGTAGTCATCACGATAGAGAGCTCCAAAAATCAAACATTGAAAATAGCGCTGGGTGTAATATGTAACTGATGAATCATTAAATTCCACCCCTGAAAATAATAATATACTATATGTTAACTAACTTGAATTTAAATAAAATCTAAAAAAAAAAAAGAGGGAGAGAGAGAAAAGAAGGTAAATAATTAATTACTTGATTTGCCCACAAGGTTTCAAACACCCAGTTTGATTGTCATTTGGTTGTTTGTTTGTTCTGTTTTTCTGAAATGATGGCAGTTTTGGTATTGCATACACACAACCACTAAAGACGTTTATAACGTATGATCCTGTCTCAGGGGTTTCATGAAGTCGATAATCTGAATACAGGAGTAAAAGGTACTCGTAGGAATTATTTTAAAACTTATAGACATTGGGGAGGGTATGTACTATGGTGAGCGCTGTGAATTATGTAAGACTGTTGAATCACAGACCTGTACCTCTGAAACAAATAATACATTATATGTTAAAAAAAAAAAAGAGAGAAGAAGATAGCAGGAGGGGAAGAATGAAGAGGGGGAAATTGGAGGGGGAGACGAACTATGAGAGACTATGGACTCTAAGAAACAAACTGAGGGTTCTAGAGGGGAGGGGGGTGGGGGGATGGGTTAGCCTGGTGATGGGTATTAAAGAGGGCACGTTCTGCATGGAGCACTGGGTGTTATACACAAACAATGAATCATGGAACACTACATCAAAAACTAATGATGTAATGTATGGTGATTAGCATAACATAATAATAAAAAAAAACTTATACTTGACCTTTTTGAGGGAATAGAATCCCAGAACCAAGAGTTAAAAAAAGATTAAAATAAATTTCATAATAATACCTATAATATTAGAAGTCTTCAATATTCAATTTAATCATGCTCTGCACTTATATTGAGACACATTTATTCAGGGCTGATGTTTAGGTGGTTTCAAAGTACTCAGACTAACTTCGTTAAGAAAAAGCAAACAAACAGTTGGTGCAAAGACCAGAAGCTACAGAATTTTAGGAGGAAAGATTTGGCTTTTAACATTACCTAAAAATTATAGACTGAGTTGAAGTATAACACTGTAATAAAACAATCTTTATCAGAGGTGAATGTAATAAGAGAAAATTTTAATTTGATTTCCATTTGCCCACAAAGAACACTGACAAAAATATTGTGACTTTTTTCTCATAAACCTTGATCTTCTACTTTTCTCAGAGAAACTTCTTTCAATATTTTTTCTTCTTTTCTAGTGACTGGGTTTGATCTCTGGGGCTCTGTGTTTGCAACAGGAATTGTTTGCACATTCTACTGTACCCTGGTATGTATCTAACTGTGAAAAAGTATTTAGCACCATCTCCTAATATGGGATAAGGGCAAACCTCCAACAACAGGGCATCTAATTATAGCAGAAATTGCTATTCCAAAATTAAAGAGAAATTTGCTGGCTTCTCTGTCACAGTTTCCTGAGGAAGGTGCTGTTCTTTTATTTAAAATTCTTTCAGTGCCATTAGCAGAATTGGGTTCTGGGCTCATTTGAGAAAGCCATGGCAAAGAAAAGATTTCATGGAAGAAATCCCTTCTTGCTAAGAGGATAAGTGACCATGTGCAACTGCCAAGAAAACAATGTGCCTGTTAACAGTAATTATGAACCCTAGATAGCATACACTTCATTGTCTAGTGATTGAGAAATGCACAATGCATATATGAATGATCAAAGATGGCTGGTATTTTGTAAACTTGAGGATTCCACAGCTTGTTGTTTTTTCTTATTTATGGATAAGCTTGGATTACAGTACCATTTGGCTTAACACATGCTCAGTTTTTCATCAAGGAATCTGGGTGGTATTGGCAACGTACTTATGTAATTGTTAAAATCTGTTTAGTTCAACAAACATTCATTGAGCACCTATTATTTATCATGCTTTGCAATGGGAAGCTTTATTCTTCTGAATCCTTGGCATCCATAGACAGAGGCTGTAAGTAACCAGTTAAAAATATGGCACTGGTTTTCAGAAAGCTGGATTTTCTTTCTTCCTCTATAGAGGAAAACAAAGTAATCCTATATTATCATCGAGCAGACCATCCAGATATTTTGGTATTGTGTGCATATCAGATACTCTTTGAACATAGATCATGAAATATACAATTTAAAAATGTCCTTTTCATACACACAATTCCCACTATTTCTTTTGCACTACAGAGTTTTGTCTTTTTTTTTTTTCCGTTCCATTCTCACTACCATAGCTCTATTCCAGACACACGTCTCTTACCTAGGTTAAAAATAAGCTCCTGCTCCTTATATGTCTGGCCATATGTGACAGATTAGTTGCTCCAAAGCATCTATCCATACAAGGATGACTAGACACATTGCCAGGGACACTGAAGGCAGCCTTCTTAGCAACAATAATGGAAGGCAGAAACAGTGAAATAATATCTTCAAAGCATTGATGGAAAACAACTGTCAACCTAAAATTGTGTATTCAGCAATACTAACTTTTAAGAACTGTCAAGAACCAAGAGAATTTACCACTAATCTATCCTTCCCTGAGAAAAACCTAGAGGAAGTACTTTGGGAAGAAAGAAAATGATCCAGTTTTGGTTAGAAGAGGTAATGATAAGAAAATAAAAGAGTAAACATTTAGTAAGTCTAGTCAAACAATTTTTGGTGCTCGATGATAAAAAAATAATTTTATAGTATAGTATAGTATAACATACATATCTAATTATATTTTATAATTTATAATATAATATACTACTGCTACTTCTACTTATTATTATTATACGTAATTTTGGGATTAAGAAAAAGAATAACCCTCATTTGGACAACAATAGCATGTTAATCAAGAAGACAGTAATCAGAGTTGACAATTTTATCATCTTTGAATTGTTGAGGATTAAGATATTCTTTAAATTTAGACTCTAACTTAAAAATCTGTAGCAAAATTTCAAGGGGACCCATTTAAATAAAATGTCAAAGTGGAAAAATGGAATTAAAACAAGACAAAACAAAACCTCAAGTGATTTAAGCAAGAGAAGAGGATAAAAATAGAGAAGGCACAAACAGAAACAAAAAGTAATGTTAGAAACAAGTCTGGATATTGTCATAATCGCAATAAGCTAAAATGAACTAAATTTGCTACCTCTTAATTGGTTTCAGTGCTTCTCTCCACTCTGCATGCTTCTGGAAGATTAATCTTAATCACCTATTACTTCATGCCACTTAACTGACCCAATTCTCTTCTCACTTCCTATTGTTCCCAGGATAAAGTAGAAGCCTCTTAGCCTAGTGTTGGAAATCTTTTATGATGTGAGTCAATCCACCCATCTAATCCCTTACAGCACCTCTGTCCCATCTTTTCTCTCTCTAGCCAGGCTACAAGCTTTTGGATCCCACTCCAATGGTGGCTTATTTGTCCAACACGTGTTGCTCATGCTGCAGTTTCTTTAACATCCTGAGGATGGTTGGGTATCTAAGATAAACGGTGGAAGAGATTAAAACAATAAGTGATTCCTGCCATTCAGGGGCTTGCAATCTAGTGAAGTAAACATTAGATTTCAAACAACACAGACTGATTAAATACATCAGTGACACTGCTCTATCAGGGTTATAGGTCAGTGTGTGTGTTTTGCTGGGGGGTGTCTCACAGTATGAAGAAGTTATAGAGTCAGAGAAATTTTCATGGTGACTATAATCTGTCCTTTTTTTTTGAAGATTTTATTTATTTATTTGACACAGAGAGACAAAGTTAGAGAAGGAACACAAGCAGGGGGAGTGGGAGAGGGAGAAGCAGGCTTCCCGCTGAACAGAGAGCCCAACGCGGGGCTCCATCCCAAGACCCTGGGATCATGACCTGAGCTGCAGGCAGACGCTTAACAACTGAGCCACCCAGAGGCCCCTATAATCTGTCTTTTGATGTACATTTGATAAAGTGGTTTGTTCTCTTGCCTCATGTCTAGCTGAAGTTCAAAAATATGCATAAGGCTTTTGCATATTTTTGCATAACCAATAGCAAGTAGCTGCTGAAAACTGAGCTCTGTGATATTTGGTCTTCATATCACTAAAATCTGATGTTGTGACTTGGGTTTAGAAGGCTTAATGTCTTTAGAGAAAATCACAATACTGTTACTTGGGAGGTAGGAGGTAAATATTGATTATTCCTCAAGTCAGGATGTGAACACAATATACAAATACAATGCCTCAGGCAGGGACTTTAATGTCTATTTATCAAATTGCATTCTAATTACAAAAGAAATGGTGGGACAACCCCAACGTCTTCTTTCTTCTCAAGATAAAGATGAAACCTGTCATCTTTTCGCAGAAGTTCTTGACACTCTGGAGGAGTAACTGGGGATGACAATTCTATTTTTCAATGTTAAAAATACCACATCCTTCCATTCTCATAGTGCTTATTCATTTTCAAAGCATTTTTTTTATATCACTTTGTTTAATCTTTCCCAATTTGCTCATTCCACCTCACTGTGATCCTCAGGGATTCTATACCTGGATTACTCCAGGAACCTCTTTTTCGCCTCCTTTCCTCTTGCCCACGTGTTCTCAACTAGAATTGTACTTTAGAATTCCTGTCGGAGCTTTCAGAAAAATATTTAAGACTGGATCCCAACCCAGACTTCAATTTATTCAGAATCCTTGGGTGCTAGGACATTGGCGTTTGTTTGTTTTCAAATTCCCCAAAGGATTCTACAGAGGATCCAGTTTTGATAACCAGCACACTAACCTCTTCCCTCATCACTCTGTCCTGAGTTCTGCTGTGAGATTTATCCTCCTCAAAGTCTGCCTTGCCCACCTCACTCTTTGACCATCGTCTAGCTCTTAAAACTCCTTTCTCCATGAATGTCTGGAATCTATCATTCTTTCCTAGTTTTTTTCTTTTTTCTCAGCATTCTAGCATCTCAGTTCCCCCGAATTTATTTACTGCCACTAAATTTACAAAAAAAAAAAAAACCCTCATGTTTGTATAAGCCAGACCCAGATGATTATCCTTAATTTCCCCACTTCCTCATCATCTGTATTCAATTATTCACAAGTTGTGTTGATTTGACCTCCCAGTTATCTTTCAAGTCCATCCATTTCTTTCCATCTCTACCCTGCTGCAAACCTGCTTCAAACCTCTGTCTTCTTGGGCACAGACTACTGAAAACAACTCTGAGTGTATCTCTCACTCCTTCTTTTCCTTGGTCCAGAAATCTGTTATCCACACAACCACCCCTGAAACCAATATGAAGCAAACAAATAAAATCTCTCATCATGTAAATCTCTTTAATGCTTTCTCATTGCTCTTAAGAAATCATTTAAGTAGCCTTGCCAAAACCCATGTGTTCTGGCCTCTAGCAAATTCAGCAACCTCCCTTCGGGCATTCTGTATATGCCTCAATCTATATATTCTAGCATTCTTTCATTTCTCCAGGCAGCCATGCATCTCCATCCTTCACATATGTGGTTCCCCTCTCTTGTCCTCTGTACCAGGTAAATTCCTACTCGTTCTTCATAACATAGATCGAGAAAGAAAGATGAAAGAAAGAAAGAAAGAAAGAAA